GTACGAACGCTGCTGCAACTGGTGGAGGACGAAGGCCATAATTTTCCTCTTGCAGTGCCGTCCATCCTTCAAGGTCGATACGTCGACGACATCTTTGGAGGCGCTGACACTGTCCAACAGTTAATCAAAATTGCATTGCAGCTGAAGAACTTGTGCAGGGCGGGCGGCTTTCCATTGGCCAAGTGGCACGCGACTCATCCAGACGTGCTCACTGCTGTTCAAGCAGAGAAAGACCAGGGCTCACAAATTACATTCGACGATTGCGCAACCAAGATACTCGGATTACGATGGCTTCCTCAAGAAGATTTATTCGCATTTGCAACAAGGATCTCGTCGCATACCGATCATCTCACCAAACGCCTCGTTTTGTCTAAAGTGGCTCAGATATTCGATCCACTAGGCTTTGCATCACCAGTCGTGATCAAGGCGAAGATGCTCTTGCAGGAGCTTTGGCTTCACAAGCTCCAATGGGATGAACCACTGCCATCCCAGCTCTCATCACGGTGGCTCATCATCAGAAAGGAACTCACCAGCTTGCGCAAGATCTCAATACCTCGGTGGTATAACACATGGAGTACATCGACAGTGGAATTTCACGGCTTTTCTGATGCTTCTCAACTGGCAATGGCTGCAGTCGTATTTATCACCGTCCACGGCTCAACTGGTACCACGATTTCATTGGTGTGCTCCAAAACAAAGGTATCACCGCTCAAGCGGCTCACCATCCCGAGACTTGAACTCACCGCAGCGCTGCTGCTCTCAAGACTCATGCAATACGTTCAAGCCACATTGAAGTTGAACGTCACAGCAACTCACCTGTGGACGGACTCTGTTGTGACACTCACGTGGATCAAATCTCATGCATCGCGCTGGAAGGATTTCGTGAGAAATCGGGTCTCTCAAATTCAAGAGCTCACTGCGAACGCACATTGGAAATACGTACCAGGTACGTCCAACCCAGCCGACTGCGCCTCACGAGGATTAAGTACTGCTCAACTCCAAAGCCACTCATTATGGTGGACGGGACCACCGTGGATACTCACCCCTGAAGCTTGGCCATCACAACCCACGCTGTCGGACGAGTTGAGCGCTCATGAGGCTCGTCCTGGCATTGCGCTACATGCGGCCGCATCTCAACCGGACTATCACTGGGACCTGATATATAGGTACTCAACACTCAACAAGTTATTGAAAATAACAGCTCTTTGTTTCAGATTCATATTGCTTCTGGGAAAGCACCGACGCAAGCCACTGGACTTGCACTCAGCTTTGGAGGAGGCCAGATTCTTCTGGATTCAGGCTACTCAAGCGGCATACTTTACGCACGAGATCAAGATGCTCACGGCCAACTCGAGACTACCAACTGCTCACGCATTTAGTCGGTTGACTGCGTATATAGACGCTAAAGGGATCATCCGAGTTGGCGGCCGCCTCAACCAATCAGCACTAGCTCAAGACAGCAAACATCAGGCGATTTTGCCTCGCCACTCCCAGCTCTCAACCTTGATCATTTCACACGCTCATCTGCGTACTCTGCATGGAGGAACTCAGCTGACATTGGCTCATGTCAGGCAAAGCTACTGGATCATCGGCGGACGGGCTCCGGTGAAGTCGCATATTCTGCGGTGTGTCGTGTGTGCTCGGCAGAGGGGGATTCGTGCTCATCAACTGATGGGCCAACTACCTCTCTCTCGGGTTACGCCGTCACGTCCGTCTACTCACACAGGAGTTGACTATGCCGGACCGCTCACCATCAAAACATGGAAAGGACGAGGTGCGAAAACATACAAGGGATGGATCTGTGTGTTCGTCTGTTTCTCCACCTCCGCAATTCACCTCGAAGTAGTCAGTGACTACTCATCAGAAGGATTCATCGCAGCCTTCCGAAGATTTTCCGCGAGAAGGGGAATTGCTCAGACCATATATTCGGACTGCGGAACAACATTCATTGGAGCAGACGCCGCGCTCAAGAAAATGTTCATCCAGAGCTCACAAGAACATCAACGGATCGCTCAAGTTCTACAACAGGATTGCACCAGATGGGAGTTCAACCCACCAGGCGCTCCACACATGGGGGGCAAGTGGGAGGCGGTGGTGAAATCGGTGAAGTTTCACCTGAGGCGGACTATCGGGGAGACTCTACTCACAACGGAAGAACTTACAACGTTGCTTACGCAAATCGAGGCCATTCTCAACTCGCGGCCTTTAGAACCGTTGAGTGACGACCCTGACGACGTCTCAGCGCTCACACCAGGTCATTTCCTCATTGGAGGTCCACTCACTACTATACCTGAGCCATCTCTGATTGACCTAGCAACCTCACGCCTATCTCGATGGCAGCTCATCCAACAGCGGGTTCAACATTTTTGGGCACAATGGTCGGCTCATTATCTGCAATGCCAGCAGGCGATATCCAAGTGGCATCATCCTAACAACAATATCAAGGTGGGGTCCATCGTGCTGCTCACCGACGAACGCTCTCCACCATGCAAGTGGCCACTCGCCAGAGTAACAGCTGTGCACCCCGGCAAGGATGGACTCACCAGGGTGGTTACCCTCAAGACGGCCACCACGACACTCACTCGGCCAAGTGCCAAGCTTGCGATTCTACCCATCTCAACTGAATGAAGAATCAAGAGTAAGGAATCATCAACAAGGTTGCTGATGGCGGGCGGAATGTTCGAGATTCCCTTAACGTTGCGCCGTCCAATCAGATGGCAGCATCGATCGGGTAACGACGCTCGATCGCCGCGGCAGCTTGCGCCCGCACGGGCGCGCTCATCGCCACCGTCTTCCTCGCGATCGAGGCAATTGTGCAAATGGCCGCGCGGTGACAAGTCGCATTACGTGTGCTCAGTGCATTTCGATAAGTTGCTTCGGGTAATCGTTCACATCGTAGTACCCACGCTGTTTTAGATCGCATCATAGACTGTGAAATAGACCGCTCATTAACTCTGGTGCCTCAACACGACGACTCAAGCTCACACGCGCGCGAGTGCCGATCGCCACGTGTCTCACCGGCTCACGGGCGACTCACCACACGAGAAGGGCAATTAATGTAATTGTCGCTCGCCTGCAACGATCATACACAGAGGTTCCTTTTGTACACCGCTCATCGATTCTCAGGTCAGATTGTAATAATTTTCGATACATTAAAGACGGCTCAGACTGTGGTCTGAGTTACATAAAATAAAGTGCATATTCAGTTAACACCTTCCACGCGCGTCCTTCTCATCCCGCTTCCATCGCCGGGATTAAACAGCGATTTCGCGAACAATTTGTTTTCTTAAGTAGTAAAATGATTATGAACTAACCATTATTGTTATTCTTACTATTAGGACAAGCCGGTCGTCGTATGGTGTCACTATTATTATTATTATTATTATTATTATTATTATTATCATTATTATTATTTTATAATTATTGTCAGAGCTCTTAATGCTCATTTCCTAGTCATTGAAATTCTTGATCTAAAAAAGTACGGATGGCAATTAATTAATGGAAAACTGATTCCCGTTTATTTTGAAGGTCCTACAAGTTTTCAATTACTACAAAAATATATATGTAACTGTAGTTCAAAAAGTTTTTATTGCAGAACATCTATTTCATGTCCTTGCCGTGCTGCTGATTTGTCCTGCAGTAAAATTTGTAAATGTACTGGAAAATGTAGCAATAATTCAAATGACGAGGGTAAGGATGATGAATAAGTTTCTTTAATATAGAGTTGTGTGGGGTGATGTGCAACGTTTCCGATTCCTGGTCTGCATGTCGACATTTGACAGAACCGCATACTGCCATGTGTTTGTGTCGACAGTACCTTGTTTTAGATAAATAACTCGCGAGATAGCACGCACCCTGGTTTGCTGTACGAAAAACGAGTTAAATTTCTCGAGCTGAAAGTTTTTTTTGCTTTTCAGATTCAAAGTGATTTCGTGAATTGGTTTTGGTTTTATAGGCAAATATTTTTATATTGTTAGTTTTTCAAGTGCTTTTGATAATCCAAAGCGATTTTGTGATTTCCTTACATTATGTTGGTGTTACGCCAGTCCGCGCAAAATAGCGTGTTTGGGGTGATGTGCAACACTGTGTCGACATGCAAGGTCGCAACTATTTTACTTGTGACAACTGCGATTCAGAAATGCGATGATAAAAAATAAAGTTTTTTGCGTTTTTCCTTTTATTATATTAATTTTTAAGCGATAAATAAATAAGAAATTAAATAAAGAATGATTTTTTTGTGAAATTTCCATTTGTCAGAGGTCGATTACAACACTGAAATTTTTTGTTCACCAGATTTCGATTAATTTGTATTTAAGAAGCCCAAATTTAACATTTAAGTCGATTGATGTCGATATTCATGCATTTTTTACCTTAATATTACCTGTGTTGCACATCATCCCAAGAAAATTTGAAAATGCTAAAACAAACGTTTTTAGTATTTTCCTTCCTCTACATTATACAGCCATGATATATTGAA